ATTGCCACTCCACTTCTCCGTTCGTGAATTCCCTTCTTCTTCTTCTTCTTCTTCTTCTTCTTCTTCTTCTTCTTTTTCTCTTCTCTTCTCTTCTCTATTCTCTACTATTCGTTTCTTCTCTTCCGTTATTTATTATCTTCAAATATTATTACGTCTATCCGGCACGGGTAAGGTGATGGCGAAGGATTAAAGGGGTGGTTTGGAAGAAGGGTGACAAAGAAGCATATATATATATATATACACACATATACATATGTATATATGTTCGTATGGTATGTATATGTATGTGCATATATATATATATTTAAATTTATATTTTTATATATATTATTTATATATATATATATATGAGGAAAAAAAGGAAAAAGAAAGGAAGAAAAAAAAAAGAAATTTGTTATCACCAATAAAATTAAGGATTATTGAGAAAGGACAAAGGGAATTAGACCGAATGAAAGACGTTGTTGTTATTGCTATTGTTGCTGTTCTTCTATCCACTGTAACAACTTTCCTAATAAATTTTTCAATCTATCAGCCTATCACACAATCGCACAACGGTCACAGTAACAGTTCCTTCTTATTTTTGAGTTTCCTTTTCTTTTTCTTTCAAACTGTTCCTTCGATTGTTACTCTTGTTATTGTTGTTGTTGTTGTTGTTGTTGTTGTTGTTGTTATTGTTGTTGTTGTTATGTTGTTCTTTTTCTTCTTTCTTATTCTTTTATAGCAATCGATGAACGACGATAAACGACGAATTGGACGGAGAAGCTCGAAGCGCCTTTCTTGATACAATAATAATAATAATAATATAATAATAATAACAATAATAATAATAATAATAATAATAATAATAATAATAATAATAATAATATGAGAGGATGCTCGTCGACTGGACGTCTTATGTCGGAATTACGATTTACTCGAATTACGATTAATTCTCAATTAGGATTCTACGATGTGAGAGAGAGAGGTTGACGATGATGACGACGACGACGACGACGACAATGACGACGACGACGACGACGACGATGACGATGACGATGATGACGATGTCGAAGAGGACGACGAGAAGACAACGACGAACGATGATAAAGTTATTATTATATTATTATTATTATTATTAATTATAACACCGTAGAGAAAAGAACAGTCGTATTTCGTAAGGATGACGATGACGACGAAGACAACGACGACGACGACGATGACGATGATGATGATGATAATAATAATAACAATAATAACAATAAGAAGAAGAAGAAGAAGAAGAAGTAGTAGTAGTAGTAGTAGTAGTATAGTTAGTAAGTAATAGTAGAACCGAGAAGAGAGCAGGCGGCGACGGAGGAGGGGAGGGGTTGGAGGGAAGGGGGGCAGCTGCTTTTCTCTGCGGTTATATTATTATATGTCGATCTCGGTGATACGTTCGCGTGTATGCTTGTGTGTGTGTATATATGTTTATGTATATATTTGTTGTATGTTATATTCCTGGGGCCCGTCGGTGGTCGTCGTCGGCCGTGTGACGTGAACCGGCGGCGCGATGATGCACCCACGCCCCGGACGGAGCAGCGCTTCGTCAACGGTGCGATATCTCTTCGCACTCGACGATCTCGTTCGTTTCTGCTATCACACTCCCTCTTTCTCTCTTCTTCTTCTCTCTCTTTTTCTCTCTCTCTCTCTCTTTATATATATATATATGTGTATGTATATGTATATATATGTGTGTCTCTTTGTGTATATATATATATATATATCACACTATATTCCTCTATGGGTTCACGAGAGTTAAGTAGAGAAGAGAAATAATTCGAATATCTAAGAGTATCGAATTGGTCGAAACTTTTAGCTAATGGTTTATATTATCAGGGATTCGATAACGCTCTCTTTTTTACCACGTCGATGATGATCCTCGTGCCGAGGAGACGACACCACATACGCACATATTTCCCCACACACACATATATATATACGTGTATATATATATACACATACACGGACAACACACACGACGTCACACACGTTTCGATTTTGTTCTCCTCCCTTTTTATCACCCCTCTCTCTCTCTCTCACTCTCTCTCTCTCTCTTCTTCCACTCTCTCTCTCTCTCTCTCTCTCTCTTGCTTTCCTTCTTTCTCTCTCTCTCTCTCTCTCTCTCTGTCTATCTATCTTTTTCTCACTTCTTCGCACTACCCACCCACCCACTCTTTCTCTCTCTGTCTCTCTCGAGTCGTGTAAACACGCGCGAGCGCGCACGCACACACACTCTCTCTCTCTCGCAAAGCCGCAAAATCCGCGACCGCCGCGGCAGCAAGAGTCGGCACCGCACTGCCTGACCGTTCCGCTCGTTCGGCAGCACGAACCTCGCCGTTCGCACGTTTCCGTAGGCGCTCGTTCGCCTTCGCGCACGCTCGGCTACGACGGAGCCTGCGGCGACGCCGGCTACAGAGCCGCCGACGCTTTGCCCGGCGCTGCTCCTCCTCCCCCGCCCCTCTTAGACCACCTACCACTAACTCTATCTCTATCCCTCTCTTTCTCTCTCTTTCTCTCTAGCTAGCTCGCTCGCTCTTCACTGAGAACGCTCTTTACGTCCTTTTCTTTCTTTATTTCTGTCTCTCTTTTTCTCTCTCTCTCACTCTCTACATCCTCTTTGTCTCTCTCTCTCTATCTCGATTTCGCGTATACTCTCCATCTTTGTTTCTCTCTATCTCTTTTGCACTTTCCTTCTCTCTCTCTCTCTCTCTCTCTCTCTTTCCTTCTATCTCCATTTCTATCTCTATCTCTATCTAGCTTGCTTCGCAACGCTCCCGAGGAACAGCGTAACGGATCGATCGTCACCGATCGATGGTAAATCGAGGCACGCGCTCTCCGATCGATCGACCAACGACGACCGACCGTTGGATGACGTTTTCTTCG